TTGTAATGAGGATAAACTTTTAATATGAAATAGCCATTTATACTGATGGAAGGCAAATTAGTTGTAATCTTGTAGTATTTGCGTATAATATATCTATCTATAATTGTTCATAACAATCTTTCCAATTATAGTCTATCAAGATTATTCGAGTACGTTGCTCAATGTCTACAAAATAGAATTTTTTTTTAATGTGAGCAAAACATAGACAGTCCTTGTTTTTAGTATACAGAGAAACTGACATGTTGAATCATTTTACTGTTTTTTTCGATACTTTTAACTTTTCGTCATATTATTGGAGATTCAAAGAAAATATTCATAATCAAAATTTGATTATTTATTTATCATACCTGAAGAAATCTATGCATATGCCAAGCAGCTGTTTTCCCATCATTAACACTTTCAACTGTTGTACTAGCTACTTTAGCTAAATCACCACCACAAAATACACCTGGTACACTTGTTGACATTGCTTTTAAATCAACAACAGGGTAACTATATTTATCTAATTGTAAAGGTTCAAGTGCTTGAATAACTATAAATTACAAAAACAAAATTTTGTCTACAATTTAAAAAGATATCTAAGAATAAACAACCTGGAAGTTCATTTAATGTTGAACCAAATGCTGAGATAACATAATTACATTTTAAACGTACTATTTGATCTGGATCTTCAATCCAATCACCTGGAACAAGAAAATAAATTTAGCAAAAAAATAAACGAAGTAATAATTAAAAAAAACCTGATTCTGTCTGTTCAGTTTTAACAAATTCTATTGATGTTATTTTTCCATTTTTAACAAAAATTTGTTTTGGCGAACAAAATGGTATAAATTCACATAATTCTTCAATAGCAACATCAACCTATTTTGAAATTTATGATTCTATTGAACAACAAATCAAACGATTATATTTACTTCTTCTGGTACAGCACGCATTTGATTAAAGCCTTTTCGAAAACATACAAATACTTTTTTTGCACCACAACGTATAGCTGATGTTGCACAATCCATAGCTGTATCACCAGCACCAAGTACAACTGCATTGCCACTTAAAACAGGTAATGTATACTTACATGGACACATTCCTATTAACAACATGAAAATAAGTCTTTTCTTTTTCTTTTTTTCGTCTTTGTTTTTTGAATGGATTGAAAATTCTTTTTACCTGCTTTACTAGATTTTGCAACCATTGGTAAAAAATTTTTTGAAGTATAAAAACCTTCATTTGAAGTTAAATCTTTAAATATTGGATCAACATTTGGATTTGGTAGACCAATACCAAGAAAAATTGCTTTATATCCATATTCATCAAATAAATTTTTTATTGTTAAACCATCTTTTTCAATTGTTAATGCTTTATTAGGTATAATTTTAACACCTAAATCTTTTGCAAGTTCAATTTCAAAATTAACAGTATCATATGGTAAACGATATTGAGGAATTTCGGATGAACTAAGACCACCTAAATAATCGTATTTTTCATATATTGTTAAATCTTTATAACCAAGTCGAGCAAGAAATGTTGCACATGATATTGATGCTGGTCCACAACCAATCAATGCTATTTTACTTGAATATTTTTCATTAAGTGTTTTTCCATCTTCACGTGGATCACGAATTGCTGGAATATGCATTGATTTGAAAATCTAGATAAAATATAAAAATATTAGATTTCGATTGAAAATATTGTTAGGTTTTTTGTTTTTACATCAACAGCGAACTGTTGTAAACCACCAATATTAATTGGACCTTCTTCACTAGCATATAAATTACATCCACCGACACAAAGATCACTCGTTGGACAGACCATGCCTTGTATTTAAAAAAAACGAATAAGTAAAAAGAATACAATGAACAATAGACATACCACATGTGAGACCTAGTGGATTATCAGATAGAATTGCTTTAGCTGCTCCATAATAGTTTTTATTTGAAATTGATGTTATAAACGATTTAATATCAATTGATGTTGGACATGATTTTTGGCATGGTGCATCAGCTGAAGATATTAGAGGAAAAAAAAACAAATCAGGCATACTTTATGATCGATCTTTTCTTACCGCATTTAAGACACCTAAATAAAGAAAAAAAATGAAATTCGATTTCGACTAGTCTTTTTTTTTTTATCTATCTATCTATTTACCTAGCTGCTTCACGTAAGGCTCCCCGTTCGCTTAGTGTTGTATGTTTAACATCAAGAAAATTTCGATTTAAATCTTTAGTACAACCCTAATTTTATCACACATAAAAAATTATTTAATATAAAATATAATAATATACTTACACTTGCACATGTATGCTCATCGTTACGTTTCCAATGTTTTTTATCTTTAACTGTTTGTATTGATGGCCTTGAATTAGCAAATGGTTTCGTTTTTGGATTTAATAAAAGTAGATTCTATGTTCATATTATACATAGTCACAAAACATAGATTGAAAACATCTATTTACCTCGATATCAGGTAGATCTTTCGATATAAGTTGATTCTCCTTTGTATCTGCACCTGGCATTTTCAACGAAAAAAAAAACAAGTTACTGGATGCTTATGATATTTGTGCAATAACGTAAATGTTCGTTACTATATAAGAGTATGCTTTATTTTAAAATAGGACAAAACAAATCTTATCTACTCTTCTGTTAAATTTTCTTATGGAGAAAAGAAAGAAAAAAATGAGACCCTAAAGGCTACGATACAAAAGTAAATACAGAACGAAATAAATCTTATCAGAGCATATTTACCTACATATTCGAATAACATAAATCGAATCATATGATTTTGGTTCGTATTTTATATATTTCGTTTATTATTATATCTTTTTAACAACAATCAAATGACAAACGAAAACAAAACAACAGAAAAGAATGTTTTTCCTAATTAAACAAATTTATACATTGACTCCATAGAAGACAACAACAAAAAAAAAGAAAACAAATAGTCGAATGATAATATAAACACGAAAAAAATATAACACAAATGACTATAAACATACATACATACATACAACAAATAATATTCCATTCGATGAAATGTAAAGAAAAGATCAATAAAAAGTTTTATACATATACGTCAAAAACGAAAAAAAAAATTTCTACAAGTAAAAGAAAAAGAATTTCATTTGATGCATTCAATTAAGCTCGAAATAGAATTTTTGATGATGCACCACGTTTTGATTCTTGATCTTCATGACTCTAAAAGTTCAAAATTATATATAAATTGGATGATTTATTAAGCATTATGCAATTCATGAGTCTTTATTTTTATTTATGTATATCATTCTATTTACTTTATAAACTTTAAACTCATTTACCCTTAATATTTTCCTTCTTTTTTTATGACTAATCGGATGTTGATAAAAGAAAAAGAGCTATGAAAACGATAGCATCGCAATGCCCTTAAAAAATATCATGACATACTTTTATCGAATGAAAGATAGAACAAGGCAAAAAATTATCTATAAGTGAAGATCTTTAAGCATTATTCTTCATTTTCATTAAGAAACGTAATTATTGACAACATCATCAAAAATGTCCTACAGATACACTTAAGTGGAAGAGATAATGTTATTCATTGTTCTTTTTAAATTATCGTAATACTTTAGTTAGGTATATTCGATATCTATATATCTTTCCTTGTTTTCTACATTCTCACGTATTAAATTACGTCGAACATATTATTTGCATCTAGGTGTCAACTCATTGTATCGAACATTAGAATGACAGATCAATATATATCGAAGGAAATTTATATTTGATTCATTTTCTAAATTAAAATTCAAACGATAGAAATAAAAAACGAATGTTTCATTAAAATTAAAAATTGCACAAAGAAATCTCTATCATCTTTTAGAAACATTAGAGATATGTATATCTCACTGACAACTTAGAGACAAATACTTACTTCAAATATCAATTGTAATGATCGAGGAATGTCAGCAACTTCGCGAAAACGACTTCTACATAATAAAACGAATATACTTATTCATATTTCAAAAACAAATATTTAATCCATTTGTTTTACCCAATACGTTTTGTGGTTTCAGCATTTCTCCAATCGCGTGTCCATAAACTTATTCGATCACCTTTACTTCGAACTGAAACTACACAACCATTAACATTATGTGCATCTTCACCATATTGATCACCAATTAATGACAATAACTAATTATTAAAAAAAAATGTAAAACAAAGGATTAAAAGAAAAACAACCCAACTGTATGAAGCCAATATGTATCAAGTTCATTAGCTCGTTGATTTTTATTTAAATTTAAACACCATCGACCACCTGAACGATTATATCGATCTTCCCACATAGGTTGCTAAATAAAAAAAAAATTACTAAAAAAAGTTTAAGTTCATAATTAAATACTAACAATATGTGTTTTAAATAAAAAATAATCACAACCTTGACCAAGTCGACTAGCTGATTGTAAATGATTAAATACAGACCAAAAACTTTCAACTGTTGATACTGTTGTTATTTTAATTAAATTATCTTTCCAATCACACATACGATCATTTTTAAAATACCAAAATGTCCATGAATCTTCTAATGGAAATGTTAAATCATTTGATGATTGTATTAATGTTTGCATTTCATGAATAGAATTTAATTCTTCGTTTTGTTCATCTGAATTTATTATTGATGTTATTAATACTGTTGGTGGTGCTGTTTGTTGTTGTTGTTGTTGTTGTGGTGGTGGTGGTGGTGGTGGGGATTTTTCTTGTGGTGATAATGGACTAATCGGTGTTGTATATGTTTCATCTGATTGACTATCATTTCTATCGAATTTCCAATCATCTGTTGACATTATATTTTATCTAAAGAAAAAATATAGCGCATAAAAAAGAATCACATTAAAATTTCACAAAAAAAAAAGTATTTATAGATTAAAATTTTGTCAAATAAAATATATACAATGGAATTTTGGAAGAATAAATATCACAAAAAAAACGAAAGAAAAAAAGAAATACTGTTTTTTCATTTCTTATATTGTTTTTGGTTATTGCATGTTTAATTGCTTTTTTAATTGCATATTTTCATATTGTAATTGTTCAATTTTTTGATTTAATTGAAATTTTTCTTCATCAAATTTTAGATGTTCTTCACAAGATTTTTCTGTTAATTCATTAATTAATAATTCTTTTTTATCCAATAATTCTTTTAATATATCAATATCATTCTGTAATCTTTTTACTAAATTATTTGATAATTGATTATCTAAAGATTTTTTTCGAATCTGTTGATTCGCTGAAGATGTTGATGAATCAATTATTTGAGATTCATTGTCATTTAATGATATATGCGGTTGTAATGCTTTTGACATAGTTAATTTTAAATTTGATAATGATTTACCAAATTTATTAGCAAGACTTTTTTTTGATGGAGCTTTTTCCATTTTACGAGTTGGTACTCCAGTATTTATTGTTGTTACTGGACGTGGTGTTTTATCTAAAGAAATTATATACTACAGATAGTCTAAAGAGTAATAACAACAAAAAAAAATCTACATTCATAGTTAAAGAAAAAACTCCAAAAAAAATTTCTATTTGATAGTCATTGTTTTTAGTGTACTACAATGTGTTTCTATTGATATTTTAAACCATCAATATTGATTTCCAATTAAAAGTAAGTTTCATATTACCAAAAACATCATATAAATTTCAATTTTAACGGACGTTTTTTCTATCAACAAATACTAGGGCTGCTATATATCTCAGAATTTAAATAGGATTCAATGGTAAAGTAATGTTTAAATAGTGCAAAAGATCTTCAACGAAAATTAATTGAATAAGAGCATTTCTTTCTGAAAGAAGAGGTTGTGTGTAATAAGCTTTTTTTTTTTTATTCAGAACAGGATTTCATTTCTAAGATCATAAGTAAACCATTTTTCGATAGAATGTTGTCTCAAGAATTAAAATGAATGCAATCCAGGGAGAAAAATAGTATATATTTATATTAATCGACTAAGCCTTATAAAATACATCTTGGCATTTTTTGTTTTTTGTCAGCCTTTGAAAAGTTTGCACCTATTTGAGTGTAAAATTGACATATTAACGAGGAATTCAAGCTTAGAAAACTTGTACTATAGTACTAATGACATTTTATACACATTCAAAAAAAAGACTTCTATGGCTAAAATAGGAAGTCTTCGGTGATTTCTACATTTTATCAAGTGCGGACAAATAATCCTCAATTAGGTTACAGGTTTCTGTGAACTATATATCGTAGCTCTAAGAAATACTAAGTTACTATCAGCTAATAATATACCACAAAAGATGGAAAAAGTACAGTTTGTTGAACGAATAGTATATAATGAAGAAAATATCTATTTACATTAGATATATCCTAGACTATCACACCATAAACTTTTCTTTCCTATGAGTAAATCTTAGTGGACTGCAAAAATGTTTTGTTTTCTTCACGCTTCCACTCAGCATAGGAAAGAAATCTATACTAAATGTTGGCATGCCAGTCTTATGTGCAAATACCTGCAGACATATTTAAGCAATAGATTTCTTATTTTTATTTAGTTAGTTAACTATACCTTTCATTATATAATGTAATATGTAATGTTATGACAAGCTAGAGTATGACATTGATGAAGTTCCACAAATGTAAAAAAAAAAGTAATTAGCATTCTTAATGTTTATTTGAAGGAGAACAAAAAACAAATTGTTTTTTTATAAGTACAGGAAATAGGAATTGAGATATGTCGTCCTCGTAGGACACTTGTTAATAGCCTCGTTTAATTACTGTTTAAATTATTTCATAAAGACTTTTATTTTTATATTGAGCAGTTAGCAGAATAAACTAAAACCAACTATATAATGCTTCGTATTACAATAAAATTACAAATATTTCAAAATTTATACGGACATTTATTAGTTTTTTTCTTTATGTTTTTATTTTTGTATAATAAAAGTGCAAATATTGAAATTTTTCCCTAGACAGAAAAAACATATTCTCTCGTCAGTAATTGATAGCCTTAGATTTGTACTCTATTCCATATGACAACACTTGTTTGGATCTTTTGTCTAGAAAGAAAATTAATTTCTTATCATTTTTATACAAATCAACCAATACAGTATTTTATTGAAATGGCCTCTTTCGAAAAGGTGAACATCTATTTTTGGAAACGTATTACACATAATGCATGGTATAATAACTAGAAACTCTGGAAGGGCCAATCTGATTTGCAAAGTGGTACCGCACTTGTCCTAGATAAAATACTACACCAATAGAAAAAAAAATACAGCTAGATATTCAGATAATTGTTGGGCTATATGTGAATCTTGTAATTCTATCACGTTTGTATAGTATTTTTAATGCAAAATAAAAACATCATGGAATGAAAGGTAATTCAAGGCTTTTGAAAGACTATATTTAACATAAAAATTCGCCATGCTGCAATGCTTTCCAAAAACACTTCACTGAACAAAAAAACGTTCTATTCTCGGTTGTTTTACATATTAGAACACTTGATCAAATATGACACTTAAACATGCTCCGTTGATCCGTTATAGCTCTAATGAGAAGTACTGTCTATTTTATAAGTTTCTACTTTGCTATGTTTTCTTTTTATTGTAACATACGGCTCAGATCTGCGTCATGTTTGTCAAATAATAAACTTTTTTTCTGTTTCGAAACTCTCATAGTCTCTCTCTTACTTCTTCTATGCTTGTCTCTTCAACTGACAATGCATGGAATAAATACTTAAATCAAGTCCTTCGAAACAATCCTGAAACCCAAAAAGTCACGTTTGTCCTGTTTTGCGGATCATCTTGGACTGACCCTTATGGTTTCGGCACAAAAAAATTCTCGAGAGTCAAAAAAAAGTTATCTCGCAAAATTTACACGTGAGATACATATATTAAAAACGAAACATTACAGATATAGAAAAAAAAACCGTGCATAAATTATCCTAATAAAATAAAAAGTAGCATTCGAATAAAATCTCTAACTACTTACCGATTTTTTGTTTTCGTTGAATTAAAATATTATTCATTGATCTTGGATTATGTTTAATTCTTTCTTCATCATCATTATCTGTATTCAGTAACTCTGTACTAGCAAATCTTTTTTGTTGAATATTTGATTTATTTTCAAAAAAATCAATTTTATTTTGAACTGTTGCATAATTAATTTGATTTGTATCTAAAGATGACTGTTGATTATCATTATGATCAGATGTAACATAAAATTGTTTTTCAATAGATGATTTTCGTTGTTGTTTAATATCATCAAGTTCTAATTGACTTTCTAAACTTATATTTGCACTATCAAATGATGAAAATGTTCCTTTATATAATGATGGCAATGATGTTGAACGAAGTTTTGTTGATAATAAATGATCATTTGATGATAATAATGATGAAAATGATGAAAATCCACTTGATTTTGTTATTGATTCATTTGTTTGTTCATATGAATCATGAAATTGATTTGTTGAAGTATTCTATTAATTAGAAAAACTTAAAGATATTGCAATATATAAAAAAAATTAATAATCTACCGAAAAGAGATATTCACTATAATCGATTAATACTTTAATTAATGGCAATAAATTAAAACTAGAAATAAAAATTAAGCTTTTTTGTCTGCAATTCTTTTTTTTTTTAAACTAAAAGCTTTACCTATGTCCTTTAAGCATATTAAGATCCAGATCTTCGGCTGGTCGAATAAGATTATTTCCAAAAACAACGGCTAAATTATCCGTATCCATTTTAGTTATTTGAGCATGATCAGTTACTTTTTTTAGAAATATACATAAATATGCTAAAATAGCATGATTTATATTTGTAAGATTTGTTTCTATTAATTGTTTTAAACGATATAAATCATTTGTTTGACTATATTTAAAACGTGAACCTATTGCAAGAAATTCATCAAAACAATGTATAGGAATTATTGGTTCAGGTAACGATTGTAAATAGGTTTTTAATAATGAAGATATTGTTGCAGGTGAATAACAAGCTTTTAATTCAACTGGTAAACCACGATCATACATATCACGTAATTCTTTTATTGTAGATTGTTTACCTGGTACTCTAATTAAATATAAAAAATTTTTTTTTAAATTAGAATCTTCTGGTTTCTTTTTTTTTTCTTCTATACTACCGAAATAAACCAACAAATGTTAAACCATGTTCAAGTAAATATTCACAACATTGTCGAACAATTAAAGGTACAAGTGAAGTTTTATCTTGAGAATATCTATAAGTATCTTGTAATGATTGTCCAAATATACCTAAATATGAACAAAAACGTTTATAAGTACAAATAAAATTTAAATCGAAAAATAAGTGAAGATTAGCATATGATTACTAAACTTCCTGATTTGACTAGCAGAATTCTGGATTTTAAGCCTTTATTCTGATACTAGGAGTTGTTTTTCGAGATTTTCTGAAGCTCATATATTTTTGAAAGAAAATAGTGAGCATAAGTTTAAACCGAGGATTTTATGACTTCCTTTTTCTTTACTCTAGCGATCGTGAGTTGGAGAAGAGAACGACAAAGACTAAAGAGTAAATTTCCATAACAATGATGGCACAGTGTATATTTTTCAAATAACAGGCGAATATTGACTTTCTTGCTCGGAAATGGATTTTTCTGCTAAGAAGTGATTGAATATGACGCAGCAAAGAACTTTTTAAGAGAAAAAAAATACTTAGGAAAAGAGTTTTTCGAGAAAAACTGGTCAAGAGGAATCCTCACCCTTCTTTTTAGTCAAAACTTTTTCTACAGGATCATTTTGTCTTATATATCATTCAACGTAGTTTTACACGCTACCTGCGAATATAATATTTGTTCTGAGAAAAAAAACAATAAAATAATATTTCCTGATTTCTAAGGCACGTTTCATATATATTACCATTAGAAGAAGAGCAGTTATGTACTGAAGATGCATTTGAAAATATAAATAGTTTTTTCTTAAGTATAAAAATGTTAATTGAATCTAAGAAATGTTCTAATTTGAAACATTTTTAAAGTGATAAAATTACAGAGCGCGCGTATCAACTGTAAAAGTTGTTATTTATATAAACTAAGTTATTTTTACTGCTCTGACAATATGTCATAAATTTAGAATAATCAAAGTTCGTGACTTCCACATGTTGGGCTTTCATGAGATTGTATTGATAATTTTTCTACGGTTTATTTTATTCTTTGCTCCATTTTGGCTCTTAGCAACATGTTTAAGCAACAAGAAAAACGATCTAGCATTACAATATAATGTTAGATTCTACAAAGGACAGAGAAAATATCCGTTAAATAGACGCAACAGATGTGAACTTATCTTCTTAACAATAGAAAAGTACTTCCATTTATAAAAATTAATTCTATTAGCTTTTTCTATGTTGACTTGAAATGTATTTTGTGAATCTATTTTTAGTTATTTGAAATTTTGTGGAATAATAATCGAAAACAAAATGAAAAACAATCTTGTTTGTGCTGATTCTTTTATTTTGTTGATTTATTTTCATGAACAAATATGAAAATATTAGCAATATAAAATAAGTTTGATCATATTGCTTGTTTTTATTACAAGCAATTACTTCTATAACTGCTTTATTAGAAGAAAATAACAAGCGCTTCCTCTAGATATTGTATTGTATAAAATCGTACCTATCTACTTAGCACCTTACAATACCAAAATTACGTAAGAAAAATAGGGAAAACTGTACATTGTTTTGCACTTTTCTCAAATCAAGTTTTTCATGAAAAACAAGTGCATTACCGTCTCCACTTCTCTCGCCTGATATATCAGATCCAGCTGAAACTTTTTTCGCATACACTATATGCTGTTTGGGATACTTTTTTTTGTTTCGAAGGATATTTTTCAGTTGATTTTTGGTAGTTGTATTCAAGAAGAGCCATGTATCATTTAGGATAATTTCGATATTTTGGCTTTTTTATTTCAAGAACGAGAAGACTAAAAGATATCCACCCCAAACAGTGTTTGGTATCTGGATAAAATTTTCAGCCTAATCGAATGTAGTAACTTAAAGAAACAGGAGGCTCTTATTCTGCTATTGTGATCATACATTCTCTGATGATACGTTCTCCAGAAACTCTAGACATAGGGAGAGATATGTTTCGGAAATAAAACCATATTAATCTCATCTTTTACATGTTTGACTCTCAGGATATATATGCGATAGTACTCTTCTACAAACTAAGCGTTAAAAGATTTTTACGAGTATAAGGTATGTAGACATCCAAGTCAAGGAATACAAGCCCAATTCTCTCTGAAAAAGGGTATGAACTCGGAAGGAGGATCTCAATGATCGAATCTAATGATTGGCTGTCTCTAAAATTGAGAAAATCTAGCCACCAGATTTATATTATCGAGTTCTTACCATTTTCCTGTCGGAACCGATTTCTTTCCAGTGGATTCCAGTCAAAATCATTAATCTGAATAGTTCTTAATATTAGAATCAATGCAAAACTCTTTAGAACTGTTTCATACAAGGAGAAAGAGAGTTATAGTTCGAATGAGTCGATCGTCATCATGAGCTATGTACCTGCCATCAACTTAGTTCTTTTCGTTTGATGATAAGATATATATAACGAAATTTATAGAAAAAACCTTGCAGAAATAAATCCTAGGAAGTTGCGCTGAAACAAAATAAAAAGCAATGTTTTTTATATGCTAGTTACTCTTTTGACATGTTATGATTCATTTATGCACTATTACTCATCTGTTTATATAATTATTCATTATGGTGAAATCCTTTTTTTTTATACTGATGATAAATTTAAATATTACAATAAATCAAAAACAAATAGAACGTATCTAAAATGAATATAATAGAAAATCCTTTATGCAATGAGTTAAATGTGACTGTCATATGATTAACAAGTTCTTATTCGTATTCATGAATCTTAAAAATTCATTTTCAATCGTAATGTCAAAGCTTGATCATATGATTCGAATAAAATCAAAGACATTGTTCAATCATTTTTATCTTATGTATGATATGAAACTACCCTTTGATAGTTGATACCATGAATTATTTCATTGACTTGTACTCATATAAACATTTAAAGATTTTATTGTTTAATTAAGAGTACGTAGCACCCTCAATGTCGAATCACTAATAAACATTAGGAACTAAGTGTTTTTATTCGATCAATCTTATTAAATATAATACATCAAACAAAATTAAATCAATATTATCTTAAGGCTTGTTTTTATTTACCTATATACTTACAGGTTTCTTGTTTAGCAATTCATAAAAACACACAATTAATTCCACTTTCGAGCAATGTTTAATCAATCGTGGGAATGACGTCTTTCCGAAGATCAGATTGATTCTTTCAGAGTTTATAACTCTTTTGCAGTGTGCTATATATTCATACTCTCAAAAATAGATGTTCATCTTCTCAGAATTTTAGACTGTTTCTTGGGAACAGATAATCTGGATATACTATTATTTTCGATTCTTAGTCTGTCATAACATTATTACCAAAGTATCTGTCCAATATGTTAGCTGAAGGAGAATTCAAAAGAAAAACATTAATGTCAAAATTATCGAATCTCTTTTATCTTAATCCATTAATATTTGATAATAAGTAAATAATAAATGTTATATTGATAAGAATCAATTGTTTTTTTTCATCCTATAATTTATTCTAATATGAAAGACTCTTATTTGAACTTATAAAACTAAAAAAATTTAAAAATCGATGATATTTCATTCCTGAAAAAAAGTTCTTTTTTTTTTGTTTTAAATAATTCACTTACCACCACCCACTCGACTATATGCAGTTTGTTTTAATGCTAATAACCAATTATCATAATCTTTTTTTGTTTCTGCTTGTAAATGATGTGTTGATTTTCCATCTTAAAATACAAATAACAAATATATATATATATATATTCCATATATAAGATGATTCTTTCATACAATCAACTATAATTTCAATTGTATTAATTGATAAATTATTATTATTGTTTGATTCATTATTAAATGAATATTCAAAATCATTAATAATTATAGTTGGTAAAAGTTTAATCCAATCTCTATATCGTGTATCAACTTTTGATGCAATAAATAGAACAGATTTATCCCAATCAATAATACAATATCGACGATGCCATTTCGTTTGATCTTGTTTTTTAATTTTTAACCAACCTAAAATTTTTTATTTACTTTTGTATTAACGAAACAAAAAAATTCTAATAATTAATTTTCAATAAATTTAATTTACCTTCTTTTGAATTGGACATGTTTCAAAAACAATTAGAAAGAAAAAAAGAATGATATATAGTAGTCAACCAAAAAAGAAAAAATATTGGTCTTTTTTTACCAATCATTAACTATTCCAAATTCTTTTTAGAGGTTTAATGATAAATTTTGATTCGTCCAAGTGATGATGATGTGGTCTTACTCATCAGTTTTCTTCTTTCTTTTTTTTTTTTTTTATACCCATCATTCATTCATTCGACGGAAAAAACAAACGTTTGTATTATGAAACTTTTGATTCTATCAGCAATTATTTGCTATTTATCATTATATGTTGTTCAAGGTAAACAAAAGAAAAAAGAAAATCATTCAAAATAACATATCTTCTTTTAGCTGGTAACCAACAGCGAAGTGTTTTACTGGAAGATGTTAAAACATTAACACTTTATAAAGGACAACGAACTGAAGCCAGACGAGTTTCATCTATTCCACAATTAAAATGTGTTGGTGGTTCAGCAAAATGTGCTTATCAACCTGATGTTGTACAATGTTATAATCGTGGATCGAATGGTATTGATATTCAAGTAAGATTTTAAAGAAATTTATCGAATAAGATGAATAGTCGTCATTTGAAAAGCCATCTATACTTTTTTCGTAGAGCAAGTTTTGTCTCATCAAATAGTATATTGATTTTTCATCAATTTTTTCATGTTGTGATTTAGCTTTTAATGATTGTTGGGTTTTTGTAATGTTTTAAATTTTTCGATACTGTTTCTATGGACAAAGTTCATCAACCGTGAAATTTTCTCCGACACTGTGTGTTACGAAGCTCTATAAGTGTACCAATTGATTTACGTCATATTCAAATCAATGCCTATAAAAGACTCATTTTTTGTTTCCTAAACATAAATATTTAAGTTAAGCTATAAATACTTTTTGAATGAAAACTATTTTTGTTAATTAATAATAAATTTATCATGCTCTATCATTAGAAATGTATGATACCTTCAAGAATAGGAAAGAAAAATTTGCTTACATACAAAATTATGAAGTCTGATAGGAGACCAGATATATATTGAATCTCAATTCATGAGAAAAACAATGAAATAAAAACCACTTTATGTAATAATTTATTTCCATATGATTTTCCAGAAGTTCGAAAACGGAACACTTTTTACATTTTTTGGAAAACTTCATATAAAGCAGTTTAGACTATGATTAACTCATGATTATTAGATAGAAATTTTCTCATTGAAGAAGTAAGACATAGTAAGTCCTGATAGTTGGTCATTTTACCTACCATTGCTAAAAGAATCTCTTAAAATGTATATGGTCTCTCGAAACATAAAAAAATTGATGAAAAATCAATATGTCACTCAATGTAATACGAGTCGATCTACAAGAGAGTATAACTGGCTTTTCAATTGAAACATGTTTATCTTATTCAAAAAGAACCCTGTCAATAATAAAAAACCTATTTCAATTTTCTGTTTTTTAGTGGGAATGTACAAGTGAAATGCCACAGAAATATAAATTTGGAAAAATAAGTGTGTCATGTGAAGGATATAGTTATCCCGATGATCCATATATTTTAGCTGGATCCTGTGGAGTAAATAAAATCACTTTTTTCTTTTGAAAAACAAAACATTTTCATTTATTGAATTTTAGTTAGAATATAATCTTGAATTAACAGATAAAAATTTTTATGACTCAAAACAATCAGCAAATGTTCAACATTCGTACGTTGAAAGTTTTTTTTTTTTTTCTAAGATATCTTTTAATTCTTTTATGTTAGATCTAGCTCGAGATTTTGGTCATTTTTATTTAAAGTAGCACTTATCGTCATTGTATTTTTTGCTATTAAAACATATCTATCGGGTAATAATCAAACGGGTGGTGTGAGACCAATGTCAGCTGGACCTGATCATCGTCCACCAGGTAAATTTCAAGTTTTTATTTTATTATTGATTTTATTTGATTTTTAAAACTAGGTGGTGGCGGAGGTGGATTTTTTTCAAATTTTTTTCCAGGTGGTAATGGTGGCTTTGGTAATTTTTTTGGTGGTGCACCAGGACAAGGTGATGCTCGACGAAGACAACCACCACCACCAGGCTTTCGAACGGACTATACTGATAATGGAGCAGGTGAGTGAAATATAAAGTTGCGGATTCATATTTTTCTGGACTTGGATCCGATACTAAATCAAATTTTGAATCCACACCTCACTGCAGTCAACTATTTGATTAAACTGAAATCTTGAATGATTGATCTATTTGATTCTTTAGACTGCACTGCTAATCGACAACAAAATACTGGTACAGGTGGTGGAACAAACTTTTTAACTGGAGCTGCACTTGGTGCTTTAGGTGGTTATGTTTTTGGTGCTCGAAATCGACAGTAAACTAAAGCATTCATCTATTTATATTTGTGATAAAATATTTTTATCTAGACGTAATAATCAATATATGCCTGGTACTACTGCAAACACTGGTTGGTTTGGTGGAGGAGGAACTAGAACAACAACAGATACCTTTGGATCGACTGCATCGTCATCATCAAGTGATACTCATACCAGTACTGGTAAGGCAGCTATTGGATTTTGTTTTCTTTATAAGTTCTTCTTTCTCATAGGTTATGGTGGTACTGCTCGTCGATAGATCAATTCTGACAAAAAAAACGATAACTCTCAACTGAAATTTTATATTCTTGCTCTAATTAAGAATTTTTGTTTTTTCAATTTTTTTTTCATTTGAATTCTTATAAACAAGCAAAGTCGAACATTGTACAAATAAACTGATGAATTTAATCAGGCGTATTAATCTAAAGGAATTGATAAAAAAACTGTTGATTTTTTTTTTTGAAGACGATCTATTATCTTATCAGAAATTAAATAAGAAATTAATACATCACTGAATAAATGACATCTAAAAACCATCTAGCAAATTTGACTCAGATTTTATTTTTTTCAAAGCTTCAACAAACAGCATATGTTCTAAGAAAAAACTTTTCACATTGATAGCACAGCTATATCAGAATTCTATACTATCGAAAAATTACATGTAAAATCACTTTTTTCTACTTCGTGATGAAAAATGAACAATCAATTATAGAGAAGAGCATGATGCAAAGCAGTGAGATCTGCTGTTCAACTTGTAATATTATTCTGGATTCGGGCATTTATGAATTTGATTACAACTTTTACACCTGCAATCAATGCATCCTTGTTGTTCAATTGTAATGAATGAATAGCATCGAGTTTTTTTGAGATCATTAACAGTATATGTTCTCATGAGTCTAAAGTCTTCCTAAACTGAACGAGGCACTCAGTATTAAAAAAAGTCATTTGAATGATGAATTTTACAGCTAGAATGTGAATAGAAGTGAGATTGAACAAGACATAAACAGAATCATATTAATAACAGTTTTCACATAAAAGGATGCCAAAACAAAACATACGGTAGAAGCTTTCATAGTGGACATTCGTAAAGTTGCAAGATTGTCTTATTATTATTGTTTCTCTTCAAAAAATATTCATGTGTCATACGTTTTTTTTCCCGGAAGAATGGACTGACACCTATAATACACATACTAGTCATCGAGAACTATTCTACCCTACAATTTGAGCTTTCTATCTGTTGTAGTCAAAAAATTGGATCAATCTTTCCAAAAAAGAGCAATTTTTATTCCTGTCCGGTATTATTTCAGTGTTTCATCGATTGTCATTTTAAAAATACTAACTCAATAGCAATTTTTCAAGATCATTACGATTGAATCTTTATTCGACAAACGTATTTATCCTGAACTTCATAACACAAATTTTTCGACTATTTGAGGTGCAAATAATGAACAATTAAGAGGGAAATAATCTGAAAATGAGTCAGAATTGAAAAATGTTTGGAACAGCAAATACTGAATAAATTACTGAATTGATTGAAGCAAGTGATCGATCAAAATAAAGTATATATGGTAAATATTGACGCCCTTGTTTTTTATTAAACATTCCGATCACAATGAAGGATAAGTCTTCACATATAATATTAAAAATTCCAACAGTTCCGATACTCCATGGATCTCTATCACTATAATAAGTAGAAAGGTTTAATTCTAACATAAATTAGATCTAGATGTTTAGTATAAATATCAGTTTATCCATTGAAAAAAATATAATAACAGATTGACACTTGAAAGAAATCAAAATTGATAAAACATGCTTTATCTGATTAGAAGTCAAATATTTGCCTTTGATATGATATTATAACAAATCTTTCTAGCTAAATTCGTTTTATGTTTGGCTTATCTTTTTTATTCAACTTTTATGTCTTTGTTTTTCAAATGACAAAATCAATATGTTCATTAAAACGATGCCATAAATTTGAATTTAAAAAAGAAAAATATTAGCCCTAAAGAGGGCTGTTGGGTTTTATTTATATTTTATCAGTGATGTTATTCATTTTTATTCAATTTAGCAGTATGAATAAAAACCACTTATGAACCGAAACCGTAAAGTGTACGACCTTGTCGTTTAAGTGCATAGACAACATCCATGGCTGTAACTGTTTTACGTTTGGCGTGTTCTGTATATGTAACAGCATCACGAATAACGTTTTCAAGAAAGATTTTAAGAACACCACGAACTTCTTCATAGATTAAACCAGAAATACGTTTAACACCACCTCGTCGAGCAAGACGACGGATAGCTGGTTTTGTGATACCTATAGAATAATACAAAAATGTGTAAGTATATTGATTAGATTATAGAATAACAAAGAAAACATACCTTGGATGTTATCACGTAAAACTTTACGATGGCGTTTAGCACCACCTTTACCAAGACCTTTACCACCTTTACCACGGCCGGACATTGTTAAATTTGTTTAAATGTGAATAAACAAGAAGAAGAAGACGATTTGATGAATATGAAGTTAAGAACGCATAAAACAAGTGTTTTTATACTCGATATACATAGAGGTATTGATTGGTTATTTAAGAAAACAAAGACTCATGTTTATTCATTGGTCAGTTAATGATTCTATTATTGAACCAA